GTCCCTGATCTGAGCCTTCTCCAGATGTTCCTGTCTACACTAGATGTGAGTCCTGTCCTCACTGCCTTTGGAGCATTTCCAGCAGCACCTTCTTCCTGGAGTTTTGTCTTCTCCTCCTTTAGTTCCAGCTCATCCTTGTGCAGAGATAGATGAGAAAGTCTTGTCGTGATGTCCACTGGGCTGGTCTCAGCCTGTTGTTGCCATCGAGTCACTTCCAACTCATGATGACCTTATGTGTCCAATCTTTTGTCCATAGCAATGACTTTCCTAAGGGAATAAAGTGTGTATTTTAAAATCTGTTTATTTTATTGTGGTGAATACACTGGTTGCCATTGTAACCAGTCTCACTGTATAAGTCAGGGACGATAATTACACGCACAATGCTGTGTAACCATCAGCACTAACCACTTTCAAATCCATCTGCTTATCTGTCTGTCTGTCTGTCTGTCTACCACCTACCTACCATTCTATCAGTAGATGTCTGTCTTTCTAGCCACGAACCAGCTACTGATTTATCTGCCTGCCTACCTGTCTGCCCTGCCTACTGTGCCTATCTATCCTACGGCAGCACGCCAGCACTCCCAGTGGGCCACTATACAATAAACACTGCGCTGACCCACCAGCCGCTCCCTGGAAACCCTGTATAGGGTCGCTGTGAGTCGTAACTGACCCGACGGTAATGTAACGTCATGACAACAGCATCTGTGTCTGCCTACGATGACAACCTGAGCTGTGTGTGTGTTTCCCTGTCTTCCAACCACTAGAATGGGCACAAAGGCCCCGAGCCCCCTTGCATGGAAATGTCGAGACCAGCCCAGTGGACACAGCCAGCTCGATATTGCCCTTTATAATGAGTTATTTGTGAAATTCAACTTGCCTTGATAGAATGCAGCACCTCCCAGAAGTCTTTGAATTACAGCTCTAAATAATTTACAATTTCTAAACTATTTTTAATACTGTTTTTAATGTTTTGAAGTTTTGTTGACCATTTCGCAATCTTCATTTAGGAGCCTCGTCCTTCACTGGCAGTGTGTTCGTTGTGTGTGCGAGCGAAGAAGCTAATTGGTCTCCTTCTCCCCATCTGTGTTCAACATTTAACTACATGTTTCTATCCTGGTGTTTTCTTTTCCTCTGCAGGTGTGAGCGCCGCTTTGAGGGACACGCCAACCGCTGCCACCCATGTGGGGTGGCCATCAGCGCTTGTGGACGGCATGTGGCTTGTGGTGCTGAGGACAGATGTGTAGGTGCCTTAGTAGCATGTGTGCCCTTTGGGTTCTTCAGGCACATTTCTGGGTTCCATCACTGTGCAAGCTGTTAACCATTACTGCCGATTAGGATAAGGACCGGTGTTAAGCTGGACAGTGGTCAATACTTGGAGATTCTGGCACAGTAATTCAGCTGTGGCTCTGTAGAGTAAGCACTGGACTGTGAACCACAGGGTTGGGAGTTCGAGATGAGGCTTTCTGCTTCCACAAAGATTTACAGCCTTGGAAATCCTGTGCAGGGTCACTATGAGCCCGAATGGACTCGACAGCACTAATCCCAACAAGGGATGACAGACCCTTCTTTTGTTGTTAAGTGGAGCTATTTGGGACATCAGTGATTCGTGTGGTCATTTCTTAATCATAATACGACTGTTTCTTGAATGTCTCCTGTGGAAGGGTTTCTTAGGTGCTGCAGTTTCTCTCGATGACGCGATAATATTGATAAATAAAATGTTAGATCATGTCTGTAATGGAGTACGTGCCTTTGCCAAGTTAGACCCTGGAGGAAAGTGTGTTTATTCTACGGAGACGCAGACGGCCGAGGTGCCTTGGAAGGCAGACACCCAGACCTGGTGATCTGTGTCCGAAAAGTCGCCGCCTGGAGAGCAGTTCTGCCCACGTGGTGGCACTGAGAGTCAGAGTCGACTCGCTGTCCCCTAACGATAATTTACATGTGGACCATGTAGGGCTGCTAACCACACGGCAGGCAGTTCCTTGGAAAGCCTACACAGGGTCGCTGTGAGTTCAAACAGGTTCAACCACAGCTAGTCATTCTGTGTACGCAAATTTTCATGTCTCGTCAGTCAATACTGAGGACTAAAATGGCTGGCTGGGACATAGTGTTGTGTATGCCTAACTTTATTGGGAACTGCTGATGACTTTTCACCCAGGTTATCACTCACACATGCACACACAAAGCTACAACTCGAATGGCAGACGACAAACCGTGTGGGGTCGAGGCTGCAGTGTGGCAGAGCGTTCAGGTGAAATGTCTAACGACCTGGGGTCAGAAGACAGAAAGGGAAGAGCTGAGTGCACCTGAAGAATTTGGTCTTTGTCCTTGATCCCTGAGACAGAGTCTCTAAAACCTTGGAATTTCCCTCTTAACACAGCATCTTCAATGAGACTCCAGACCTCACCTAACCAAACAGATTGTGTGAGAGAGATGACTCTCATTTGAGGGCTGGCCTGACCCTCCTCATGGTAGCTACCTGGTGTCAGGGAGGAGGGCGGAAGGTGGACTTCAGTCCCGGTAAAGGCAGTGGACACAGATGCTCCTGGGGCTTGCTGATTGGTGGAAGACACAGGCGGCAGGTTAGACGGTGCATTGGACTTTTGGGGAACACAAGAGCTCCATGCTGTCACCCTTCCAGATCTCACCTTCGATGTCTTCTCCTGTGTCTCCTTTTCACTGTCATCAGTCTGTCATCATAAGACCAGCTCTTGTGAATTCTGTGAGCCAGTCTGCTGAACTTTGAACCCAAGGGAGCCGGTGGTCAGAAGAGAGGATGCTGTGGAGCCCCCAAGCGTGTGGCTGCTGTCTGAGACCTGGGAATGACTTAGCCCTCTGGAGGACGGTGCCCTTTAACCTGTGAGCTGACCGGTGCAGGTGGTCAGGGTCACGGCAGAAGTGCTGCATGTGTGGCTGGGGACAGAGCCGAGGAGCCGAGAGGAACACAAGTGGTGGTGGGCTGCTTTGATGGGTGACGTGGATTGGATTGCTCAGTCCTAGTAACTTACTCTACATGTCCTACTTTCTTGAAGAAAAAAATCAGGTTTATGAATAATATCAAATGAACATACCACACCAGATGTTGTACATGATATGTTATTGGTGTTAAGTGCTGTCAAGTAGGTCACAACTCACAGCTACCCTGTATAGGGTTTCCAAGGAGCAGCTGGGGATTTTGAACTGCCAACCTTGCAGTTCTAACTGACCTTATGGTCGAGGGCTTATTCTGCAGCGCCACACCAGGACTCGACGATATCCTGCAGAGGTTGTGAAGGGTTTTGTGGACAGTGGAACACAATGCAGATGTTACTACCAGCTGTTCCTTAGACACACCTGTACAAGGTCGCTATGAGTCAGAACCACATCAGCGGCACTTGTTGTTGTTGTTAGGTGCCATCGAGTCAGTACTGACCCATAATGACCTTATGCACAGCAGAAGGAAACACTGCCCGATCCTGGGCCAACCTCACTACTGTT